GCAGCCTTTATGAGGTTGCATATAGTGCAGCTGTAGGCCCAGAGAGAATTGAATTAGTCGCTTGTAATGAGTCAGTTAATTCTTTTCCAATTATTGGGAATATCATTTTACACTCTGTTATAGTATAAAGCTATCACGTTCGTGTTATACATGCTTTAAAGTTAATTTGAAGACTATCCAGAGGAATGATGTATTGTGCATCGCATATATCCTATATATAATGTATTCCTTTCCTGTACCAACTTTCTTGGATACAGGCAGGATCATAAGACCAGGGGTTTAACCAGAGCGGTTCTGATCAAATATCCTCAACTGCTTGCTGATTTGTTCCATTCTGTAACATCTTCCCGAAATCTGAAGTAATTCTTTCCATAACGGATCATTAACCTTGTCAATGATCAGACATGATCAATACTTGCTCCCTTGTTGAAGATTTCCATGAATGGAAACAAGGCGGGACTAATGATAGCCATTTTTAAAACATTATCTTTGCAAATTGGGGAGCTTTAGAGGTTCAATAAAATATTTAAGTTTATCCAGATAATTCTTTAGCAAATAAATTCTGTCTTATTCAGTTTAACATTCAAAATACATTTCAGTAATATCTTGCTTAGTTTATCATGAAACGTCTTCGGTCGATTGAGCAAAAGTGAAATAATCTGTACACGTTTTGATAGACTAAGAGAGTTTTAATTACTGTATTTTTTGCAGTTACTGTTAAATTTCTTTTTTTCCAGTAAGCTAACAACTTTTTCACACAATCAAACCCCTGTTCAAACTATTTACGATGTTCTTTGGCAAATGATCAGGTTCGTCGTTTGTTTTCTATTCAAAGTAAGAACACAAAGAAATTGATTTGCGTTCAAGTTTCATGATCAAAAGTATCAGAAAAATTAAAGAAGCGCCTAGTATGTATTCCAATTCGGAATCATCAAATGCTTTGAAGTATTTTTTTCACGCATTGTGCCTGGTAAGAAATTCCAATTTGCTGTATGTATTCCACTCTGTGCTAGTAGGGTTGTGTTGAGAACATTTGTCAGTTGATGTCGGAATGATCACTTTCTAGGGTAACATTAAAGATTTCTATCGATATCAGAACAAACTCAAGGCTTACTTGCCCTGGACGCGCCCCACCAGGTAAACTACATGTCGTGATTCAGGGTTATTTACAGTTATAATGTTCAAGATCAACAGAATGGTTTAGAACCATATACCAGTACCTAACAGATTACTGTAGCTTCTGTACACATGAATCTGTAATGTTGCCGGATGGTGTTTCGTTAAAGGCTGGATCATCTATATTAGTACCAAATACATGGGGTCGTGCTTAATCCCTCACTACAAAAATCTACTGTACCATTATTTACAGTTAATCTGTTTTGTACCTAAGCATCTGAATTTAGTAATATAACATCATCTCTGTCTTTATATTAGAATTGGGCGCATAATCTCCCTAGAAGATATATACTCCGTAAATACTTTTAAAAATGTGTTTAATCTGTGTTCGATAATTTAAAAGCGTTTTGATGCCTAAAAATTGTTTGAACCCTAAATGTGTTCGAAATTGTCTGGACTGAAAGCGTTTAAGATGCACAATGATACACTGTAAAAATAATCATGTACATTTTGTCGAAATATCTTTCGTTTAGACAATGTAATCATTTTGTTCTATTAAAAAGTGTGTAATTATTCTCTTAAAAATTATAACACAACGAACCATGTATTGATTTATGCATGCTATTTGTATGTAGAGTCACTCGTATTTAAGGAAGAATATTAATTGTCTTTTCTTAAATATACCTGTCAAATTTACAAGGATTATTCAGAATAATTAGGTCAAAGGTCACACACAACCCACCACCCACCAAAGCTTCTGCTTGACCAGATCCAAGTTTACTGAAGAAACCCACACCACTGACCAATGATCAACGCTATAACTGATAAAGACACTGAGCTGCAGGGACATGTTGGTTCCACTCTCCGTTGTTTTGGTGCTCACCATATAATAATGCTGCCTTATCATAATGTCTCCTTAATATGCACTCCGACAAATGTGTTTGGTGTTTACGGTCCTGATCCCGCTTGATGATAGAATCACATAAACGTCTGTTATATGTATATAGTTGCATCTATGATACACACACTGAGAACACATCAACAATATTAAAGAAATTTACTAATGTAACACCATGTTAAAAGATCTCTTCACTTTTTCCCAGAGGCGTGTCTGACATCAGACTCGTATTGTTTTTAATTGATAGCATACACCTAGCAGGAATTATGTTTTTCCCCGGTTTTATTTTATTTTTTTTATTTTCAAATTAAATTCGAATACTAATATTATTTGGAGATTAGGCTTTTAAAATGCGCTTCCCTCCTTGAATGAGAGCCACATTCGCTCTTCCCCGCTGGTGACTTAGACGTGCCAGTAGCCAGTCGCCAGAACCTCAGTATTTTCCCTTCCGCCCGACCGTTTCTGCAATGCAAAGGTCCAAAATGAAGGTCTCAATTCACTCTGATTCAGAACCACCGACTGGGGCATCGAGTTCAAAGGGGCGCATTTTCAGTTTAAATGGAATTATATTTTTCTATCAAAACTACCCAGGTTCAGAGACTAAGCGTTAGACAGGACCCTGTAATTATGGGTCGAAACATGCCCCGGTTATGCTCATTGCTTGTTGAAGATCATACCTCTATTTCACATTTCAAACTGTTTGAATATTTAACTTGCACTCTCTGCAGGCTGTTCATGGTGTGTGGTTTATGTCTGTGTTGATTGTTGTTTCTTGGAGGCTCATTAACATGAAAGCTATTTAAACAGTATATATCGATTGTTTTGAGGCTAGCGAATGAAGTGCCCATTTTACTTCTACCATAAATTCCAGTTTTTTATGGTAACTTGTCTTTATGTGTTTTGCAACGTGGAGGGCAGAATGTTTTAAACCCGTTACCATGGCTATTTCACAAAAAACATGTGCAATAATAGAATCGCATTTGAAGTTTATCAGTATATTGAATATGTGTTATATTCTATGGAATTTGCAAAGGCTAACATAATGCTTTACTATAACGCATATGTGTTCGTGTACACTGTATGTGCGATGTGCTTGTGCGATCTCATGCTCGTAGCATTGTATTCTTCAATTATCTATGGGGGTAGTGGAAACAGGTGAAGGGTGTAAATACATTGATACGTCTCAATACCTCCAGATAAGCTGCGTATTAGCTTAAAATACACAGACCATACATTTGAAAACAAGCATAACTCTTTTAACTCCGAGTTGAATGACCGAAAAGGAGAACACCACGGTTAAATACCCACTACTAATGTGTTTCTAAGCAGGTTGCGAACACAAATATTTCTAGAGATGTTTTGTTGCAGTAATCATGTATTCAAGAACTTTACACGAATAATACACGAATGACAAACATCTCACATATTGTAATGCTGTCATTGGTTAAAAAAACCCATACAAACCGGAGGAGAATAATAATATCTTGTATAACCTAACAACAACTATCCAACCCCAATGTGAATGAATGTGAAAAGGAAATGAAATAGTTTTATGTTCTTCCTTAGTAAACGTAGATGAGATTCGGAATTTTCATCAACTCTTACAGTTGAAAGGAACGTATTGTAAAATACTCGATGATCAAGCATTTCCTGACGTATCACTTTTTAATTCATGCGTGCAAATCCGTCTGCAAATCCGGTCATTGCATACCTGAAAAAGGGGCCTTTGTATACAGCACTATAAGATGAGTATATTTGACAAAGATGCAGTTTCATATGAAAAATGCGCCCCAAAATAGGAAATCGGGAAACGTACGCAAATCCGGTCATAGCATGTGTATTTCCTAATGTATTTATATTTTTTATTTCAACGGTGTACTATCTGGCTGTTGGTCCCGTGTAAGCTGATGGTTAGTTAGTAGTAATGAACTGATAATCTTTGTCGACTTTACAGGATAATGTTTGTCGACTGGACAGATCATCCGTTTTGAACGTGTTATTCTTTCAGCCTGAGGAAGCTTTTCTACTTTGTATCAATCACGCTAATGTCAGACCAATGTATATTTATCACATTGACGTTTCACTACTTTCACTTAGGATGAACGTACTCAACTCACTTGCTAAGGGTATACATGATAACAATGCTGGCCCTATTGTGGAGGACCACATACCTGCCATGCATTCAGACTTGATCTTCTCATTATTTTACATAAACGCCTGTAGCAATCTGTCACGTCAAAATGAAGAATACATTCAAATGATGGTGAGTGCCTCAAGAGGAATTGAAGCGACTGGTGAAGGGCGTGTGTATCCTAGACACAGAGTATTAGACTGCCGTTATGTCGGGAGATCACTGGAACAACAACACAGGGCTATGTCGAGGGACATACCCGAACACAGCATCGTCTAGCTCACAGCACCAGCAACCTGCTTCCTTCATATGTCATGTCACTTTCAATTTTCAGGCCTTGGTTTAAGGATTGGTACTAATGAGCCTTCTCCCTATCACAATAAACTGTTGAATTTGTACTGCCACTCAAACCATTTGCGGTGATTTGTATCGGGAAACACCACTGACAGTTTCGATTTAAGTACTGTCACTCCAACCCTCTGTAGCGGTTTGTATTAATTTGTAAACTTAATGAAGTATAGATACATTTGGGCGACCATGCACAGTATAGATACATTTGGGCAACCATGCACATTATTCTTTACCGGAATGATTTCTTGTTAACGTTAGTTTCAACTTGAGAATCAACATATTATAGATACATTTAGACGACCATGCACAGTATAGATACATTAGGGCCACCACACATGCCCAGTAAAGATACATTTGGACGACCGAACATGCCCAGTATAGATACATTTGGACGGTCACACATGTCCAGTATAGATACATTTGAAAAACTCAATATGCGCAGTATAGATACATTTATGACAGTATAGATACACTCAACATGCACAGTATAGATACATTTTGGACAACATCAACATGCCCAGTATAGATACATTTGGACAACTCAACATGCCCAGTATAGATACATTTGGACAACTCAACATGCACATATAGATACATTTAGACATTTGGACAACAACATGCACAGTATAGATAGACACATTTGGACCACAGTATAGATACATTTGGACATGCACAGTATAGATACATTTGGACAACTCAACATGCACAGTATAGATACATTTGGACAACTCAACATGCACAGTATAGATACATTTGGACAACTCAACATGCACAGTATAGATACATTTGGACGACCATGCACAGTATAGATACATTTGGACAACTCAACATGCACAGTATAGATACATTTGGACGACCACACATGCCCAGTATAGATACATTTGGACGACACACATGCACAGTATAGATACATTTGGACGACCACACATGCACAGTATAGATACATTTGGACGACCACACATGCACAGTATAGATACATTTGGACGACACATGCACAGTATAGATACATTTGGACGACACATGCACAGTATAGATACATTTGGACGACAACATGCACAGTATAGATACATTTGGACGACCACACATGCCCAGTATAGATACATTTGGACAACCACACATGCCCAGTATAGATACATTTGGACAACTCAACATGCACAGTATAGATACATTTGGACAACTCAACATGCCCAGTATAGATACATTTGGACGACCACACATGCACAGTATAGATACATTTGGACAACTCAACATGCACAGTATAGATACATTTGGACAACACAACATGCACAGTATAGATACATTTGGACAACCACACATGCACAGTATAGATACATTTGGACGACACACATGCACAGTATAGATACATTTGGACGACTCAACATGCACAGTATAGATACATTTGGACAACTCAACATGCACAGTATAGATACATTTGGACGGACCACACATGCACAGTATAGATACATTTGGACAACTCAACATGCACAGTATAGATACATTTGGACGACCACACATGCACAGTATAGATACATTTGGACAGTATAGATACATTTGGACAACTCAACATGCACAGTATAGATACATTTGGACAACTCAACATGCACAGTATAGATACATTTGGACAACTCAACATGCACAGTATAGATACATTTGGACAACTCAACATGCACAGTATAGATACATTTGGACACTCAACATGCACAGTATAGATACATTTGGACATGCAGTATAGATACATTTGGACGACCATGCACAGTATAGATACATTTGGACAACTCAACATGCACAGTATAGATACATTTGGACTCAACATGCACAGTATAGATACATTTGGACAACTCAACATGCACAGTATAGATACATTTGGACAACTCAACATGCCCAGTATAGATACATTTGGACAACACAACATGCACAGTATAGATACATTTGGACAACTCAACATGCACAGTATAGATACATTTGGACAACATAACATGCACAGTATAGATACATTTGGACGACCACACATGCACAGTATAGATACATTTGGACAACTCAACATGCCCAGTATAGATACATTTGGACAACTCAACATGCACAGTATAGATACATTTGGACCACACATGCACAGTATATGCACACTTTATCTCTATGACTGTAGCATAATCGCTGAGACACCGCCATGTTCTCATGAATAACGCCTCTGTAACTACACCGGTTTAGGCCCCACCATATACTGCTTCCCATGTCGGATAGTCTATGGCGTACAGAGATACATGGTTGCACTGTGGAGAACCAGACATGGTTCTGTTTGGGGTGAGACAGTTGGTTCTGTATAGGGAATGACAATCGATGGACACAAACAACTGTTTCTGTACATGGTTTGTTTGTTCTGTACAGTATCAGGAAGGTTCTGTACATAGGTCAGGTCGTTTGTTCTGTACAGTATCAGGAAGGTTCTGTACATAGGTCAGGTCGTTTGTTCTGTACAGTTATCAGGAAGGTTCTGTACATAAGTCAGGTCGTTTGTTCTGTACAGTATCAGGAAGATGTTGGCGTATACAATGAGAAGGTTGGTTTGTACAGGGTCAGGTTGTGTGTTCTTTACAGACAGTTTGTTCTGTATCGGGTAAAACTAATTGTTCCGTCTTGACAACTCAGTTGGTTTTGTATAAATCAGGCAGTTGGTTTGCTCTATACTGGGCCAGGTAGCTGGTTCTACATTCGGCTATGGCCAGTGGCCTGATGAAGTGGGCACGTCATGTCGTGGTATTTCAGTCAAAGCGAGTCCGACTGTACGAGAGGTCAGCGGGGATCAGGCGAGGAGGTCGCTTTAAAGACTGTCCCCTCGTTCACCTGTTTGCCGAGGAGGACCACACCGATACCGTACTTGGTCCGAGCTGCTAGCGATTCCACATTGAATACCATCATGTCCAGGTCATAGCTAAATGGCCGTCGGGGTCAAGGTCAGTTGGCATTTAGGGGAACAAGCTTACAGTCAACATTCACAACCATACTTGTCAACATGCTTTCTTAACACTTGAAATCGAAACACATAAGTCCTTTGTCATTACACAACGAACATAAAGAGAAACGTCTACATGTTAAGGTACATGCAAATCTGACAATCCCGTGAGTCACGTGATGTACGAGGAAACCTACACGCCACACGTCAATCAAACCTCATGAGCAGACTGTAACTGGTAAAGTGACAGGTATATTGATAGGGGAAGGGCAAGTGCGAAGGTAGTGGAAGGGGGCGTCTTTACATGGCGTGAGAATCGTGCACCAACATTTAACAGAGCGTGACGAAACAAGATATTTACAATAAACCTGCATGCAATTGAGGGAGATCGGTTTTTCGACAACAGGGTCTTGCTGAGGTGTGTTGCGCGACTGGGCGTCTGGATAGTACAAAGCGGGTTCACTGTGAGTCCAAGTTGTGCTTCCTCAGTCAAGAGTCGCTGTGTAACAGTACAGACGGAACATCTTCTTGTGCCTTGGTTTCCGTTCTTCATCATGTCGGAAGGCTACAGTTACCAAACTGGAAAGCGAAACACTTTCCACGCCGCTGACTATGTCATCTTCGCTAGTATCCTTGTCATCTCCGCCTCCATCGGCATCTTCTACGCCATCCGCGACAGAAAAAAAGAACAATCTCCGTCAGTTTCTCATGGCAGGTAAAGACATGAACGCCATTCCCGTGGCGTTATCGTTGTTGGCGAGTTTTATGTCGGCGATCACGTTGCTTGGGACTCCGGCGGAGATGTATAACTTTACGACGGTATATTGGTGGATCGGCATTTCTTATTTCTTCGTCATTGCTGCAGCCGCTCACATCTTCATCCCGATATTCTACAACCTCAAGGTTACAAGTGCTTATGAAGTAAGTTACGATGTACTTTATGTTTACGCCAATCACTTCTTGTCTGGTTTGCTTACAGGCCGTTGTCGAATGGCACCTGTACTACTGCATGACGTCAGGCAATAAACCTTTAACTTTTATGCAAACTCTGCCACCAGTAGGGCAGCACATGGTAACCGTTTGTGCGAACACTTGGAGCTGACATGTGATACTGGAGGGGTGCATGACGTGACCAACAGTGAAGGAAGATGGATGTGACGTTACCAACAATGACGACAGAGGAATATGACGTGACCAACAGTGACGACAGATGGATATGACGTGACCAACAATGACGACAGATAGATATGACGTGACCAACAGTGACGGCAGAGGAATATGACGTGACCAACAGTGACGACAGATAGATATGACGTAACCAACAGTGACATCAGAGGTTTATGACGTGACCAACAATGACGGCTGAGGGATATGAGGTGACCAGTGACGACACATAGATATGACGTGACCAACAGTGACATCAGAGGTACATGACCTGACCAACAATGACGACAGAGGTACATGACCTGACCAATAATGACGGCTGAGGGATATGACGTGACCAACAGTGACGGCAGAAGTATATTACGTGACCAACAGTGACATGAGAGGAGTAAGATGTGACCAACACTGACGGCAGTGATGTATGTATGTATGTATGTATGTATGTATGTGTGTGCGTGTGTGTGTGTGCGTGCGTGTGTGCGTGCGTGTGTGTATGTGTGTGTGTGTGTATGTAGTATGGATGTCTGTATGTCTGTCTGTCTGTATATATGTATGTTTGGAGGCAGAAGGGTTTTAGGGTGAACAGTGCGCTGCTCCTGTGGACCTGTTTCTTCTTCTGCACCTGCTGTAAACAGTACAATCATTCTCTATTTGCTTCTCTGTTCCTGCCTTCAGACACATAAGTGTTTGATCAGTCAGGTTTCGGTATCCGTGACAACATGGCCGTGTGTACACAGTGATCACGTCCCTGACTCGCTACTAGACCATAAAGATGCTTACCGCGTGTGCTGTCATAATATATACTGCCCCATACCATCGTTGACCTGCTGACTTTTGACATTAGCCATTGACTTGCATCTCATGCCTGTTCCGACAGTGACATGTCAGCAGCTGAATCGTTAGCTTAGTTTCATAAAGAGCTTAACATATGGGAATTTGTTTTCGCGAATAGCCGGCGGGGGTATTTGACAGAGCTGTCGTAAAGACCACGGTCAATTGTATTTCAGATGTATTTCAGATATCAGGGGGAAAGTTGTCAAACTGGTTGAAATGCCCACCCATTTGTGCCGGGGGGACATCGCTGGTCACGCAGCTGGTCGTTGACATGTCCTGCTCAGCAGGGTCAAGACGCTGTTGATGAGAGTGAAGGACCACGCTCCAAACCGATTCTGTGACGATTGTCCTCTCGGGCCTGTCACTCTATGAAATCAGGCTGTTTCGTCACTCTTCAACAGCGCTACCGATGTCAGTTTAACTACTTCTTAATGTCAAATGATAGATATGAACTGAAAGTATAAGTACAAGCAAGCACTATCTTTGCGTTTACTGACTATTGACTATTGACTACTGACTATTGACTATTGACTATTGACTATTACTGTGGCGGTCTTTGGTTGCAATATGGGTGTAAACGGCGTCACTGATTTCCGTGTCTGTAGGTTTTGGTTTTGGTTTTAAATGAATTAATACATTACCCGTGAAATGATTAGTGCTGATGTACTTATGTACAGGAATTGCTTCTGATTGGTGGATTTACGCAAAGTTTGTGCGTGGAAATTGGCGTTTATAACTACATAGAAAGAAACAGTATTTGAAGGAAATTCTTCAGTGAGATGAAGACACAACATGGCACAGTTCTATACATTTCAAAGAAAAATGTTTTAAGGTTGAACATTATATTGGGACAATAATGTATGTATGGGAGGTGAGAATCATTGAACACCATGTATGGGTGAGAAGGAGGGTAGGGGTGGAAGAAACCATTTTCCTGTAGAGATATTGATCAATTTCTGGCCAGGACCGTTTGTTACAGTTTAGATGAAGAGCCAACTGACACTCATAAAAATTAGGGGCTTGGTGATGACTTGCAAATAGCATACACATTACACAGCATACACGCCCCATTTCCCCAGCAGCAATACGCTGTGCAATATGTGTACGTGTCTGGCATAGAAATCTGGAAAGCTCACGGCTCTTTAGACGGTTTGTAGCAAAGGTGGGTCTGAGAGTGCCTGGATTATCTCTTTATTGAGGACACTTGTACTTTAGTAATCTCCTTTCAGAACTCAATTTTTAAATGACACTCTTCAGAAACACAATATTGGAGTTACATGTCCTTTGGCTATCTCCTGATTGGGAACACTTGTATTTCAGTTGTCTCCTCACAAGAGATGCTTGTATTTCAGTTATCTCCTTGCAGGAGACGCTTGTATTTCAGTGATCTCCTCACTGAGGTCACATCTATTTCCATTATCCCCTCACAGGAAACACTTGTATTTCCGTTATCCCCTACAGGAAACACTTGTATTTCAGTTATTTCCTCGCTGAGGTCACTTGTATTTCAGTTATCTCCTGACTGGGGACACTTGTATTTGAGTTATCTCCTCGCAGGAGACGCGTGTATTTCAGGTATCTCCTCACTGAGGTCACATCTATTTCCGTTATCTCCTCACAGGTGACACTTGCATTTCAGTTATCTCCTCGTGAGGTCACTTGTATTTCCGTTATCTCCTCACAGGAGACACTTGTATTTCAGTTATCTCCTCGGTGAGGTTACTTGTATTTCAGTTATCTCCTCGTTAGGACTGACTGAGTTTGGTTTTACGCCGCTTTTAGCAATATTCCAGCAACATCACGACCGGGGACACCAGAAATGGGCTTCACACATTGTACCCATGTGGGCATTCGAACCCGGGTCTTCGGCGTGACGAGCCAACGCTTTAACCATTAGGCTACCCCACCGCCCCCCCTCTTTAGGAACACATGTCCTTCAGTTATCTATTACTGAGAAGGCTGCTAACAAGGTATATACCGCAGGGCATACGAGTGACATGCTGAGTTGTTGACAGGTCAGTGGTCACCTGGGTTCGGTGTTCATGCGTGTTGACTTCTTTAGACTGGCTAGCTATTCTCGAAACGTTCGTAGCCCTGCGAACTTCTTAAGCCCATTCTTAACACATTGGCTACGGCCAAAGTTAAGAATTCTTAGGGGCTATGAACGTTTCGAAAATAAGGGCCCAGGTCTCTGTCTATGTTCCTATTTACTATATCGGCGATTGGTGATAATAAGAACCAACTGACCAGTGATCAGTATCCCCATGTTAGTACTAAACATACACCATCACCACAATACAGGAACACATCACCGTGTCGCTGTTCCAGCATAGACATCCCACCTGATACATCTCAGAGGTAGCTGTGCCTCATGGTGCTTTGGTCTAGCCAGAGGTCTAGCCTCAAACAGTCAAACCACTAAGTTCTGCAACCACTATTGTGGATTGTTATAAATATTTACCATAATTACAAAACAGTGTTTCAATTGGGTTTATCCCCCTTTGATCTGTAACCTTTATATCTACCGACTTGCGTCATGGTGGACACTGTCCAGACCTTATAGAGCACACTGTTGCTCAGTATGACATTACACCGTGCTCCAGGATGCAGAACGACGTCACGGGATGTCACATTCTCACAGCAGTAAATGGGATGCCCGACGCAAGCAACCTGAAAACATTCATCAAACGTAAACAGCGTTCATTTGTGATAGGTGGATCCACATGAGCCGTCCTGATGACATCACAGCACACCACTCCATCATGCCCCTGCACTGGAATGCAACTTCCTGGTGTCACGTGTCAGTGGAAGCCGAGATGGCTGGATTTTTTCGTTATGTTTCCCAGCTTTCAGGTTTTCAGTACAACTAAGTTAACCCCTTTAATCCCAATGGTGTAAAAGTTTTCTGTTTGCGATGTGTTGAGTGAGAATACATGGCTTGTGAGCTGCAACTGACCGAAGTCAGTGTATGTGTCACACTCCGGCACAGCGATGACTTAACATAATATCACTGCCACAGGCTAATTTGCATATCACGTGACCGGACTTTTCTCTTGTTTGTAATCAAACGCGCATATTCATAATAAGAAGAGACTGGACTCACGAAAGCTTTTCGGCGCTCTCTTCATAATGTTTTACATTGTTACATATATAAACTTCCACAACTGCGACAGTAAGGTCTATGACAGTACATAATTAGATATCAAACTGACTGCATCGTTTGCTCTCCATCAGCTTCGATGACAGCACGTGGAGCCGTACAACCTATGTAAACAAAGGATCGCTACGCAAATCGAAATAGTGTCACATGTTTTAGGATATTTTCTCAGTGAAACTCAACCATTCTATTAAAGATGTTTAGTTAGATGTGTAGACTCGTCAAAAATAAAAGAGTAAAAGAAATCTGTACATTATATTGAATGGACATTGCAAGATGTGACGAAGGTACTATGCTGGCTTGCCGCATGGAACTCTGGGTAGGAGAGTGTGTGTGTGTGTGCGTGCACGTTCGCGCGCGTGTGTGTACAGGTGCATTTATGTGTTAGTGTGCGTATGCGTGTGTATGTGTTGGTGTTGTGCATGTGTCTCTGTCTGCGTTTATGCGTGTGTCTGTGTCTATACGTATGCGTGTGCGTGCGTGCGTGTGTGCGTGCGTGCGTGCGTGCGTGCGTGTGTGTGTGTGTGTGTGTGTGTGTGTGTGTGTGTGTGTGTGTGTGTGTGTGTTTAATTGTATCCCCTGTGTAGCCTTTAGGCGTGGATGGAATTGATCTACATTAACATAAGAGTTTCAGCATAACAGCCGTATTGGACTGCGTCTTCATATGAGATTCTATAGAGGCAACTGATGTTCAACGATGTTCAGTGTGACATACAACCCCTCACCCTGGCCCACGCACTACCTCACCAAATCTAACCTTTCTATGAATTGCAAAACTGACACAAGACCTGTTTGTAATGGACGGTCGTAAAGATGTTATAACTGCCTTAGTGCGGCATTAATCTGCTGGGCTTCAGTTCCCGCACGTCTCGAGGCTTCCCTATATGACACACAAGCTCTGGTTCCTGTACAAACACATAAATCACTCAGCGACCCCGGGCCCAGTACGACCTGCTGGCTTCTGCCAACACTGTATGTGTGCCATTTGTTTACTGTTGTTCAATGTTAACTCAGAGCTGTCACCAGCTTATCACAGGAATTGCATTCCGATGATAAGTGAGAGTTGGGTTTTAACACTCTATTGACCAGTATATACTCCTTGGGAAGGTTCGTATTTGGATAATCAAGGGTGAACATGGTCAAGCAGATGACCAACTGTATCCCGGCAGAATTTCTGCGGAACCCGGCGAACGACGGAGACGCACTTGACTCTGTCTCACGGTGATATATTAGGTCGCTTCCAAAGCCAACCAGCTTTATAAAAAGGAAGCATCGTAAAATCTCTTTCAGAAGTAACTAACCGGAAGAGATGACATGTCATAATCGCAGAAAGTGTTTGATAATACAGTATCCTAGGTACTCTCTGGGTACTGTCAAGGTACAGCTGGAACGGGATACTCTGGTTCTATGGTCGGGTGGGTCCTCAGCTGTTTGAGGACAGCCAGAAAGAGACAGTATAGTGACACTACACGTCCCTAATCAAATTATTCCTTTATGCATGATCAGATCGGTTTAGGTGGGTCCTAAAAAGTACTGTCGGAAATAGAAAAAACCCTGTTTTTAGGCTGTTACGTGTAGGATAAAGACGACTCCGAGGTTTTGGTTGAGAATGTAAAAACTCAGGGGAAGGAGCGCCCGAGGGATTTCCTGACACTGAGGTTTTACATTCTCAACCAAAATCGAGGAGGAGTCTTTTATCAAACTTATAAACCGTCTAAGACAACAAAAATTACATATGTATTATTTTCAATTTATGCATGTACTGAGTAGAACAACATTGATGGAACAGCCCGCAAATGATGGAACAGCCGGTGTCAACTGGGATGCGACTGGCAGCCAACACCTTGACCCGCACGCGCAATGCTCGTGCTCTGCACGCGCTATCCGTGTCCTGCACGCGCTACCCCTGCCCTGCACATGCGCTGCCCGCAGTACCTGTCTTGTGAGAAACACATGGTTCATACTGACAAACAATCTCATTCCTCACAGCGATCCTTCGTAGCGTAGTGGATAAAACCGCCAAGCTAGAGAGCGATGGGTTGCGGGTTCGAAACCAGTTATCACCGCTAAATATTGGAAGTTTTCAATAATGAGATATTTTACGATCAGTCATAGCAAGACAAAGTTGTATCAGTCATAAATAATGGTCATTTCAAAACCTCATATCATGGTATGAGGTTTTACAACGACCATTGTAAAACTTCGTACCTCGTATGAGGTTTTACAATGATCATTGTAAAACCTCCTGCAATCGTAAAACCTCTACCGAGGTTATTCCATAATGCGAAGCAACTGCAAGAACAATAGACAATATTGGCCATAGGTTTATAATCTGTATCTCTAAAATTTACACAATTGCAAATAGCATATGTCGAAATAACCCATATAGGCCTAACTGGGCGTTAGGTGGGATGCGTAATAGGATATCCAGAAAAGCATGTTTACTCGTAAAATTTGAGGTGTCCTTATCTACTGTAACATCCTTCCACACTCCTATGTGTATTTGGTGGCCTGTTTTGATGTGTCCTTATCTACTGTAACATCCTGCCACACTCCTATGTGTATTGGGTGGCCTGTTTTGAAGTGTCCATGTCTACTGCAACACCCTGCCATACTCATATGTGTATTGGGAGGCCTGTTTTGAAGTGTCCTTGTCTACTGTAACATCTTGCCAAACTGCTCTGTGTATTGGGCGGCCTGTATTGATGTGTCCATATCTACTGTTTCAGTACCTCGAGTACCGGTTTGGGAAAACAATCCGTACTGCAGGATCCATGACATTCGCGGTACAGATGGTACGTATCCCCAGCATCACCTGAATACCTGTAGAAGTATCCCCAGCACCACCTGAATACCTGTAGAAGTATCCCCCAGCACCACCTGAATACCTGTAGAAGTATCCCCAGCATCACCTGAGTACCTGTAGAAGTATCCCCAGCACCACCTGAATACCTGTAGAAGTATCCCCCAGCACCAGCATAACCTGTAGAAGTATCCCCCAGCATCACCTGTAGAAGTATCCCCAGCATCACCTGAATACCTGTAGAAGTATCCCCCAGCATCACCTGAGTACCTGTAGAAGTATCCCCAGCATCACCTGAATACCTGTAGTTCATGTATATCACCAGTCAAAACAAATACTCATACCGTTTGTGTTACCACGGTGGGCTGTTAATTGTTTGCATATTTTAATGGAAACGAATATCATTTTGTTGTAATGTTTCATTTTTCACATGCATACAATTACATTAGTTCACTGCAGCATCCGTTTGTCAAATCTAACGCTACCATTAACGCTGGTCTTACATGTTTGGTACTTGTTTATGTGATGTTTTAGGAGTTTGTGTGATGTTTTAGGTGCTGTACATGGCCATCGTGTTGTACGCCCCGTCCCTCGCCCTGAACGCCGGTAAGTGGCTATCTCCAGGACACTATGTCCAGTGTATGATGAACAGCTCCACATCGTGTTTATTAATAAGCACCGTGAAGATCCGGTTAGAACTGATCTTCAGCAACCCATGCTTGCCTTTTAAAGGGGCGACTAACGGGATCGGGTGGTCAGGCTCGCTGAATTGGTTGACACATGTCATCGTATCCCAGTTGCGTAGATCGATGCTCATGCTGTTGATCACTGGATTGTCTGGTTCAGACACATAGCTGGAATATTGATGAGCGAGCCGTTAAACTAACACTCCCTCACTCATCAAATAAGGAACTCCAGCTCGTTTTGTTCATTGAATAAACATTTCCAGTATTGTGGAGCGTAAGACTACACTGGTACCCACATGTATTATAAACATTGCATCCCTAAACGACATGAGTCCGGCGTCTGGATTCGTTCCTATGGGATGCAACATATTATTATCCATGTGTACTACTCAAAACCAGTTACAGAAAACTCGAACATTTAATATAAACTGGCGTACAAAAGAAAGTACACACCTGGTGTTTTGGGATTATTTGAAAAGTGTTGTGATTTTGACTTGCAACTTCGCACTTGGGCACGATATCTGTGGTGTTTTGGCAACATATTAGGAAAGTCTGTGACTTATATATCATTTTCAAAACATTTACGTGGCTCTTTGGAAAGTAATCCAAAAGCACCAGGTGTGTACTTTCTTTTTCCATCAGTTTTGTCACAATAGATAATATAAAGGGAACGGGGGTAGTTTTATGCAGTATGTATAACAAATAGATTTATTTCAGTGTGAAGTACTTCAACATCGATGATGGTATATGCGTAAATGCAAGACGTGTCGCCATGGTGTGCTGTGTATACGTTCCTGCTCTGTTTCAGTGACTGGTTTCACCCTCTGGGGCTCTGTCATATCCGTCGGAGTGGTCTGCACTCTCTACACAACCATCGTGAGTTTCCCCCATTTCTGACATCGAGTAAAACACCATTTCGGAAACAAACACACAACAAAAGACATGGTAAAGCGAACTTGGTGCAGCGTTGTGGTAGCGGAATGGGTTACATGCACCCCATTCTTCCCGTGGTGAGGCTTGAATGTTTCTTAAAAGGCGTGTTACAATATTCACTCACTCACTCAGTCATCACTCCGTGTGTTCCAGGGTGGGATGAAGGCGGTGTTATGGACGGACACCTTCCAGATCGGGATGATGTTCGCAGGGCTGTTCGCGGTCCTCATCAAGGGGTCCATGGTTCTCGGCGGATTCGCTAATGCCTGGAAGATCGCTGAACGCAACGAGAGAATCGTCATATATGAGTACGTTACAAACCAGTCCTATTGACTAGACCCTGCATACAAATGGGCATTAGAGTACGTCACAGACCTGTGCTAATGATTAGACCCTGCATACAATGGGGCATTAGAGTACGTCACACACCTGTGCTAATGATTAGACCCTGCCTACACTGGGGCATTAGAGTACGTCACACACCTGTCCTACTGATTAGACCCTGCCTATAATGGGACAATAGAGCACGTCACACACCTGTCCTACTGATTAGACCCTGCCTATAATGGGACATTAGAGTACGTCACACACCTGTCCTACTGATTAGACCCTGCCTATAATGGGACATTAGAGTACGTCACACACCTGTGCTAATGATTAGACCTTGCATACAATGGGGCATTAGAGTACGTCACACACCTGTCCTACTGATTAGACCCTGCCTACGAGGGAACTCGTCTTGACTGAGTTTGTACAGTGGAACACGGTTAACAGCTTTGGTTCCAGTTGAACTCACTCGGACATGTTTCCAAGTGCCACAGTGTTGATTTCCTCTCCATGGTCATGTTGTTCTTTTCAGCTTCAGTCCAGATCCATCCGTCCGTCACAGCGTGTGGTCTCTTGTGATTGGTGGATTCTTCACATGGGTGGCCGTCTACGGAACCAATCAGGCACAAGTTCAGCGTGCGTGCACGTGCCCCACTTTGAAGAAAGCTCAGCTGTCAGTTAAAGTTTTGTCCACGTTACTGTTTTGTTCGCAGAAAACATTTTGTGCAACTTTGCAAAACGCTAATTTGATGAAGTTAGTACTTTGTAACCCAACTGTCAGTGACCGTCATTTGTATATTGTATTATAATTACGTAGACACCGAAAGGGAGACACTATGGATGACGTTACGGAGTAGATTCTGACTCCTTCATTAGGAGGATGCGAGCTTTCTGTGGGACTACGATTCCTATACATTGTGGCCGGGTTGTACGTGCGGTATGTGTTCACTGGGAAAACTCTAACAGCCCGAGGGTTGGTTTAGCGGTAAGGCAGATCAAAACCCGTTATTAGGGAGCTGCAGAGACACGGTTACCGTAGCAACCCATCCTTCTGCCACATCGCCAACATCTCCCTACAACCACGACATGTATCACTTCAATAATGATTTAAAACATTTAGTGTCAAGGCCTCACAACCACACACTAACGGGAACTATGCCTCTCTTCGTTTGCAGCGCCATCTGGATTAACTTTCCCGGCCTCTGCCTCATCCTCTACGTCTGCTGCCTCATCGGCATCGTTCTGTATGCCTTCTACAGCTTATGCGACCCACTCCGCTTCGGCCTGGTCAGCGCTTCGGACCAGGTGATCGTTCATTTCTTGACAAACATCGTTATTTCAAATGGTGGCTATTTACGTCATAAAGAACATTGAAGCTTTGCTACAATGTCAATGCGTTTTACTAAATAACTCATAAAGGTCCCTGAAATCTCATAAAAAGAAATACCAAGAAGAGACTAAATATTGATAAAAGTGTTATAGTATGACCAGAAATTACTGAGAATTTTAGGAATATGTTTGATTGGATTTCTAGTGTAAACAGCCTTGACCAGCTATCATGTGCTTGGTTTCATTCAAGAGAGACAACTCCGTTAATCCTTTTTCATTAGTTTGTGAAGAGTTATCCCCCTTTGATTACTTGTTAGCAGACGACATTTTCAGTGATCCTCAGTATGGATGATTTAGAGAAGAGGAAGTTGATTTTAGAGTATTATAACAAGGACCTCAGATCAGCTAATTAATTTCAAGTAGAACAGGCATCCCTTTTACCACTGTTTATCGTGTTTTGAAAAATATTGCAAATGGATATGGCAATGAGCACCAGGGAGGCGCAGGTAGGCCCAGAAAATTGACTGTCGGTGACAGGAGGCGGCTTGGTATTCTTGTTTCTAAAAACAAACGAAGGAGTTCAGAAAACTTAAGCCTGGATATGATTGATAGAGGAACTGTGGCTGCCTGTAAGGAGACAATTAGAACTGAGCTGTATGCAATGGGTTGGCAGAAAAGTCGAGGAATTCCATCACCGATCATGAAACCTGAACAGAAGGAGCGAAGGTTGAACTGGTGCTTACAACATAGAAATTTAAAAAACATTTAACTGGGACAATGTGATTTTCTCAGATGAAAGTTCTGTGTGGCTGTTACCTAATACACTGAAATTCTGGACCAAACAAACTGAAAAACCTTTGTATCAGCGCCCAAAGTACAGTCCGAAATTTAACGTGTGGGATGGCATATCTGTGTTAGGGGCAGCGCCCCTCTGTGTATTTGAAGGGAATATGAACAGTGAGCGGTACACAGATATTCTCGAGGGACATTTACTTCCATTTGCTCATCTTTCTATGGAAATGTTTGGATTTTCCAGCAGGACAACGACCCAAAACATCGTTAAAAGCATTCACAGGCCTGGTTTCGGACCCAAAATATGACATTATTAGATTGGCCAAGCTATAGCCCTGACCTAAATTCAACAAAAAATGTTTGGGGACTTATGAAGGAAAGTGTCAATAAGAAAAATCTGACAAATATTGCTGAAATGAAAGAAGAGGTGGTCCGATATTGGGACAGCATGGACCACGACTTTCTAACTTCTTTGATCAGTAGTATGCCCCGCCGCATTGAAGCCTGCATTGCTGCCAATGGTGACTTGACAAATACTAACTTTTCTGGATCTTTGAATCTGGAATTATGTTCTGCTAATATTCACATTAATACGTGAGTAATGAGTGAAAAAATATATAAAAAAATTACAATCTTTAAATTCTCAATAATTTCTGGTTGTACTGTAACTTAACGTCTGAACGTCGAACAAGAATCGCAGATTCGCAAACTTCTAAAAACTATTTCCACTGCGGCTAAATATACACCGACCAAATGTTCATATACGCACCTCGGTGTAAATACATGTGATAGTTGTTAGTTGGCCCTTATAATTGGAGTTTTCGCTATACTTTTAGATACTGTCACCGTTTGGGAAACTGTGAAACTGTGAAACTTCAGTTCCACTTATACTCGAAAAACCCTGAACATTCCAAAATGTACCATCATCCTTATCAATAAATCTGTTTCTGTTGGAAACGTAATCTCGGGCTCAGTGTTGAAAACCCGTAGAGTGGATGTCCATGCTTACTTCGTGAGTGGATATGGGGTGCATGTAGTCAGCACCTTTCCTTGTCACCGTGTATGTATAACCTACCAAATACATACCCTGTGTAGCACCAGCCCCTGGGGTAGTACACTGTGCAGCCTCGCTACTGTCCCCATACACACCCTTCCTTGTCACCGTGTATGTATAACCTACAAAATACATACCCAGTGTAGCACCAGCCCCTGGGGTAGTACACTGTGCAGCCTCGCTACTGTCCCCATCCACACCCTTCCTTGTCACCGTGTATGTATAACCTACAAAATACATACCCTGTGTAGCACCAGCCCCTGGGGTAGTACACTGTGCAGCCTCGCTACTGTCTCCATCCACACCCTTCCTTGTCACCGTGTATGTATAACCTACCAAATACATACCCTGTGTAGCACCAGCCCCTGGGGTAGTACACTGTGCAGCCTCGCTACTGTCTCCATCCACACCCTTCCTTGTCACCGTGTATGTATAACCTACAAAATACATACCCTATGTAGCACCAGCCCCTGGGGTAGTACACTGTGCAGCCTCGCTACTGTCCCCATCCACACCCTTCCTTGTCACCGTGTATGTATAACCTACCAAATACATACCCAGTGTAGCACCAGCCCCTGGGGTAGTACACTGTGCAGCCTCGCTACTGTCTCCATCCACACCCTTCCTTGTCACCGTGTATGTATAACCTACCAAATACATACCCTGTGTAGCACCAGCCCTGGGGTAGTACACTGTGCAGCCTCGCTACTGTCTCCATCCACACCCTTCCTTGTCACCGTGTATGTATAACCTACAAAATACATACCCTATGTAGCACCAGCCCTGGGGTAGTACACTGTGCAGCCTCGCTACTGTCTCCATCCACACCCTTCCTTGTCACCGTGTATGTATAACCTACCAAATACATACCCCTGTGTGCAGCACCAGCCCCTGGGGTAGTACACTGTGCAGCCTCGCTACTGTCTCCATCCACACCCTTCCTTGTCACCGTGTATGTATAACCTACAAAATACATACCCTGTGTAGCACCAGCCCCTGGGGTAGTACACTGTGCAGCCTCGCTACTGTCTCCATCCACACCCTTCCTTGTCACCGTGTATGTATAACCTACAAAATACATACCCAGTGTAGCACCAGCCCCTGGGGTAGTACACTGTGCAGCCTCGCTACTGTCCCCATCCACACCCTTCCTTGTCACCGTGTATGTATAACCTACAAAATACATACCCTGTGTAGCACCAGCCCTGGGGTAGTACACTGTGCAGCCTCGCTACTGTCTCCATCCACACCCTTCCTTGTCACCGTGTATGTATAACCTACAAAATACATACCCTATGTAGCACCAGCCCCTGGGGTACTCCACTGTGCAGCCTCCATCCACACCATGGTCAGCCCCTAAACACATGTATTGTCCTGGTCAACTGACCTGTGTAATGGCCCGCTGTTCCAGCTCCTCCCTCTGTTTGTGATGGACGTGTTGGGGAACATCACGGGACTTCCGGGTCTGTTCGTCGCCTGCATCTTCAGTGGCGCCCTCAGGTAAGCCTACGCTTCTCGCGCCTTCGGATCCACTCGGCCGTTCCGTTACCTAACTTACCTTCCTTACACATAGGGCTGAAGGGGAGTTGTCACATAGTGTAGGATTCCTACTATAAGCCTCATACTGACCTCTCCTTCCTCATAGAGCTCGTGAAACAGGGAAACCGATTCAGAGAAAACAATTCTTGTATGACTGATGGGATCTAAGCTACATTTATAGGACGTTTACGACTTCAAAAAGATTGTCGTTACAAGTGAAAGTCACGTGCACCGGTGAAATTAGTGACTTCAGTTCAGATACATATCCGGTGTGGTAATTTTGAAATTACAAATCACAAATAACATCGTCTTACATGCATCGTGTAAAATAGCTGTGTAATAGGAGCAGTTATGATAATAAACCTAACGATGATGTCTCAGGGTAAATCAGCTTACTGGGCTCTCAGGGTATATCAGCTTACCGGGCTCTCTGGGTATGTCAGCTTACTGGGCTCTCAGGGTATATCAGCTTCCTGGGCTTTCTGCGTACATCAGCTTACCGGGGGCGGTGGGGTAGCCTAGTGGTTAAAGCGTTGGCTCGTCACGCCGAAGACCCGGGTTCGAATCCCCACATGGGCACAATGTGTGAAGCCCATTTCTGGTGTACCCCGCCGTGATGTTGCTGGAATATTGCTAAAAGCGGCGTAAAACCACACTCAGTCAGTCAGTCAGCTTACCGGGCCCTCTGGGTATGTCAGCTTACCGGGCTCTCTGGGTATGTCAGCTTACTGGGCTCTCAGGGTATGTCAGCTTACTGGGCTCTCAGGGTATATCAGCTTACTGGGCTCTCTGGGTATATCAGCTTCCTGGGCTCTCTGCGTACATCAGCTTACCGGGCACTCTGGGTGTGTCAGCTTACTGGGCTCTCTGGGTATGTCAGCTTACTGGGCTCTCTGGGTATGTCAGCTTACTGGGCTCTCAGGGTATGTCAGCTTCCTGGGCTCTCTGGGTATGTCAGCTTACTGGGCTCTCTGGGTATGTCAGCTTACTGGGCTCTCTGGGTATGTCAGCTTACTGGGCTCTCTGGGTATGTCAGCTTACTGGGCTCTCTGGGTATGTCAGCTTACTGGGCTCTCTGGGTATGTCAGCTTACTGGGCTCTCTGGGTATGTCAGCTTACTGGGCTCTCTGGGTATGTCAGCTTACTGGGCTCTCTGGGTATGTCAGCTTCCTGGGCTCTCTGGGTATGTCAGCTTACTGGGCTATCTGGGTATGTCAGCTTACTGGGCTCTCTGGGTATGTCAGCTTACTGGGCTCTCTGGGTACGTCAGCGTACTGAGCTGTCTGAGTATGCCAGCTTCCTGGGCTATCTGGGTATGCCAGCATACCCGTGCTCGCATGTTTCACCAGACTGGTGACGTCTGAGATCTGTATCATGTTCAACCCAACTATCCCTGATTCACATAAGCTGCTGTAGCACTCCAGAAGCGATACAAGGGGTATTTCCTCACGTTGTGTTACCAGCACCGTGTCCTCGGGCCTCAACTCCTTGGCGGCCGTTCTGCTGGAGGACGTAGTCAAGTCCTACATCGCCAAGAATCTGTCTGAAGAACGGGCCACGCTAATCTCGAAGATCATAGGTACGTGCTGACCAGAAGAACGGCCAGGTAGAGACAAGCGTCTGGTGCATCATGAGTTAGGGTGGCATGTGGCAATACTTGCACCGGTTAAGTAGCGTTATTTGCTCGCCTCCACCATACAACTCTCGTGACGCCTGTATTTCACCATGTTCCGAGTATAACTATGCGTAGTACAGACTCGCCACGTTAGTTCTGTTTACTACGGTTTCACCCATATTACCTGTTTACGGTGGTTTCACCACGTGATAAATACCCATGTTTACTATGGTTTCACCATGCGTTATCTATGTTTACCATGGTTTCACCACACGTTATCTATGTTTAATAGGTTTTCACCACGATATATCGTTGTTTACTACAATCACAACATAATATCTGTTTATTATGATTTGCTTCGATTTCATCATGTTTTCCTATGTGTATAATGGTCTCAATAGGTTGTACCGATATTTCAGCGCTGGTCCTGGGCGGCGTGTGTTTGGGCTTGACGTATGTGGCCTCACTCCTGGGTGGTGTCTTACAGGTCAGTTGTTTACACCAGTCGTGAAGCCCTACACAAGCTTAGCTTTGTGGGTTATCGACCTGACTATACCCTTGACTTGTCATTTGGTGACTCTAGAGATGAAGGAATATCAAAATTGTTAATACAGCGACGGATGGCATGACGTTACAACCCGGTAGTGTACTGAGAGAATTTTTACGAGTTATTGATGGGAGGAAAATGGGCCATGCAGTAGATAACATGTGTTAAGATCGAGAATGGGGCAATATGTTGAATAACCACTTATAAACCGACAGTGACGTCACTCTATTGTTCTTAGGGGACACATTTTCTCGTAATATCCCTCAAATCTGAAACAATCTCGCTTCCTCGGGCAATTATCTAAATAATGTCCCTCTGTCGCGGGCAATTATCTTAATAACGTCCCTGTGCCCCGGGCATTATCTTAATAACGTCCCTCTGCCCGGGGATTTTCTGAGGAATAGCCCTTGACTTTGAATTATTACTTGTTTTATTTTGAAAATTGATACGACTTTGTCTTGCCATCACTGAATGCGATCTTAAAATATGACATTATTGACAATTTCCAACATATAGTGCCGACACCCGGTTTTGAACCCTCAACCCTTCGCTTACTAGCTTGGCAGTTTTATCCACTGGGCTACGAAGGATCGCTGTGAAGAATGAGACTGTTTGTCGGTATGAACCGTGTGTTCCTCGCAAGACGGGTAGTGCGGGCAGCGCGTGCGGAGCACGTGCATTGCGAGGCATCGGCTGCCAGTCTCATCCCAGTTGATTTTAACAGTAAATACCAAATATTGACAATATATCTAAAGTATATCTTCGGTCGGTTTATAAGTTGGACATAACATGACCCGTGGGCATTATTGAAAAGTAAGCCCTCTTCCCTTAAGCGGGCTTACTTTTCAATAATGCCCGCGGGTCATGTTAATTTGTTTTATCCTACACATATTGCCACACGCAATGGATAACATATGTTAAGAGAGAGAATGTGGCAATATGTTGAATAACAATTACATCCCATCTTCCCAGTAGCCTTTGTTCCTGGCGTGCATCCTGTGGGTGTATTGGCCACGCGTCCATGTTGGCAGCTGCTGTGCAACTCTTGCTATGACATTATTGCTTATTTACAATGTTCCCAATTCTTGATTGCCACAAGAGAACCTGTGAGCTGGTATTTGTCCCATTTGAAACATGCAACAACATGGTGGATTATACATTTAGGAACTATTTAAGATTGGGGGTACATTCATTGGACGCCAATGTGTATTGCATGGAGACTTTAAATGGAAGCGGTAAATATGTTTGGTAGTGGGTTGGCCTGTACACCCTGATCAGTACAGACTGGGGTGTCTAATGGCGATTGGCATCTCACTGACTGATAGAGTTAAATGTTCTTCCCAGGCGGCCCTGTCTCTCTTCGGCATGATCGGCGGACCACTCCTCGGGTTGTTCACGCTCGGAATGATCTTCCCGTGGGCTAACAAGTGGGTAAGTCAGTATTCTACAAGTGATCTTCCCGTGGGCTAACAAGTGGGTAAGTCAGTGTTCTACAAGTGATCTTACCGTGGGCTAACAAGTGGGTAAGTCAGTGTTCTACAAGTGATCTTCCCGTGGGCTAACAAGTGGGTAAGTCAGTGTTCTACAAGTGATCTTCCCGTGGGCTAACAAGTTGGTAAGTCAGTGTTCTACAAGTAATCTTCCCGTGGGCTAACAAGTGGGTAAGTCAGTGTTCTACAAGTAATCTCCCCGTGGGCTAACAAGTGGGTAAGTCAGTTTTCTACAAGTGATCTTCCCGTGTGGTATAAGTGGGTAAGTGAACATTCAACAAGCGGTCTTCCCGTGGGCTAACAAGTTGGTAAATCAGTGTTCTACAACTGGTCTTCCCGTGGGCTACAAGTGGGTAAGTGGACGTTCCACAACTGGTCTTCCTGTAGGCTAACAAGTTTGTAAGTCAGTGTTCTACAAGTGGTCTTGCCGTGAGCTAACAAGTGGGTAAGTCAGTGTTCTACATCTGGTCTTCCTGTGGGCTACAAGTGGGTAAGTGAACGTTTTACAAGTGGTCTTCCCGTAGGCTAACAAATGGGTAAGTGAACGTTCTACAAGTGGCCTTCCCGTGGGCTAACAAGTTTGTAAGTCAGTGTTCTACAACTGGTCTTCCTGTGGGCTACAAGTGGGTAAGTGAACATTCTACAACTGGTCTTCCCGTGGGCTCACAAGTGGGTAAAATGAACGTTCTACAAGTGGCTTTCCCGTGGGCTAACAAGTGGGTAAGTGAACGTTCTACAAGTGGTCTTCCCGTGGGCTAACAAGTGGGTAAGTCAGAGTTCTACAACTGGTCTTCCTATTGGCTAACAAGTGGGTAAGTCAGAGTTCTATAAGTGGTCTTCCCGTGGGCTCACAAGTGGGTAAATGAACGTTCTACAAGTGGCTTTCCCGTGGGCTAACAAGTGGGTAAGTGAACGTTCTACAAGTGGTCTTCCCATGGGGTAACAAGTGGGTAAGTCAGAGTTCTATAAGTGGTCTTCCCGTGGGCTAAGAAGTGGGTATGTCGGAGACATGTAAGACTTTTCGTCGGTAAACGTTATCTTCCAAGGGGCTATCACAATGGTTATTCTACTCTCAAAAGGTTATCTTCCTATAGGCATCGCGTGATTTATTCTACTCTCATTACGTTATCTTCCTAGGATACTGTCAGGCAGGTAATTCTACTCTCATTGCGTTATTTTCCTAGGACACTGTCAGGCAGGTAATCCTACTCTCATTATGTTATCTTCCAAGGACACTATCAGACAGGTAATTCTACTCTCATTACGTTATCTTCCTAGGACACTGTCAGGCAGGTTATTCTACTCTCATTGCATTATTTTCCTAGGAGCATCGTGTGCGTTATTCTACTCTCATTACGTTCTCTTCCTAGGACACTGTCAGACAGGTTATTCTACTCTCATTACGTTATCTTCCTAGGACACTGTCAGACAGGTAATTCTGCTCTCAATACGTTATCTTCCTAGGACACTGTCAGACAGGTTATTCTACTCTCAATACGTTATCTTCCTCGGACACTGTCAGGCAGGTAATTCTACTTTCATTACGTTATCTTCATAGGACACTTGTCAGGCAGGTTATTTTACTCTCATTACGTTATCTTCCTCGGACACTGTCAGGCAGGTAATTCTACTCTCATTACGTTATCTTCCTCGGACACTGTCAGGCAGGTTATTCTACTCTCATTGCATTATTTTCCTAGGAGCATCGTGTGCGTTATTCTACTCTCATTACGTTATCTTCCTAGGACACTGTCAGACAGGTTATTCTACTCTCAATACGTTATCTTCCTCGGACACTGTCAGGCAGGTAATTCTACTCTCAATACGTTATCTTCCTCGGACACTGTCAGGCAGGTAATTCTACTTTCATTACGTTATCTTCCTAGGACACTGTCAGACAGGTTATTCTACTCTCATTACGTTATCTTCCTAGGACACTGTCAGGCAGGTAATTCTACTCTCAATACGTTATCTTCCTAGGACACTGTCAGACAGGTTATTCTACTCTCAATACGTTATCTTCCTCGGACACTGTCAGGCGGGTAATTTACTCTCAATACGTTATCTTCCTAGGACACTTGTCAGGCAGGTAATACACTCATTACGTTATCTTCCTCGGACACTGTCAGGCAGGTAATTCTACTCTCATTACGTTATCTTCCTCGGACACTGTCAGACAGGTAATTCTACTCTCATTACATTATCTTCCTCGGACACTGTCAGGCAGGTAATTCTACTCATTACATTATCGTTATCTTCCTCGGACACTGTCAAGCAGGTAATTCTACTCTCATTACGTTATCTTCCTCGGACACTGTCAGGCAGGTAACTCTACTCTCATTACGTTATCTTCCTCGGACACTGTCGGGCAGGTTATTCTACTCTCATTACGTTATCTTCCTCGGACACTGTCAGGCAGGTAACTCTACTCTCATTACGTTATCTTCCTCGGACACTGTCGGGCAGGTTATTCTACTCTCATTACGTTATCTTCCTCGGACACTGTCAGGCAGGTAATTCTACTTTCATTACGTTATCTTCCTCGGACACTGTCAGGCAGGTAACTCTACTCTCATTACGTTATCTTCCTCAGACAGGACACTGTCAGGCAGGTTATTCTACTCTCATTACGTTATCTTCCTCGGACACTGTCGTCAGGTAATTCTACTCTCATTACGTTATCTTCCTCGGACACTCAGGCATTCAGGTACTGTCAGGCAGGTTATTCTACTCTCATTACGTTATCTTCCTCGGACACTGTCAGGCAGGTAATTCTACTCTCATTACGGGACACTGTCAGGCAGGTATTCTACTCATTACGTTATCTTCCTAGGACAGGTGTCAGGCAGGTAATTCTACTCTCATCTTTACGTTATCTTCCTCGGACACTGTCAGGCAGGTTATTCTACTCTCATTACGTTATCTTCCTAGGACACTGTCAGGCAGGTAATTCTACTCTCATTACGTTATCTTCCTCGGACACCTGTCAGGCAGGTAATTCTACTCTCATTACGTTATCTTCCCTGGGACACTGTCAGGCAGGTAATTCTACTCTCATTACGTTATCTTCCTCGGACACTGTCAGGCAGGTAATTCTACTCTCATTACGTTATCTTCCTAGGACACTGTCAGGCAGGTAATTCTACTCTCATTACGTTATCTTCCTCGGACACTGTCAGGCAGGTAATTCTACTCTACTCTCAGGCAGGTTATTACGTTATCTTCCTCGGACACTGTCAGGCAGGTAATTCTACTCTCATTACGTTATCTTCCTCGGACACTGTCAGGCAGGTAATTCTACTCTCATTACATTATCTTCCTAGGACACTCTCTCATTACGTCAGGCAGGTAATTCTACTCTCATTACGTTATCTTCCTCGGACACCGTCAGGCAGGTAATTCTACTCTCATTACGTTATCTTCCTCGGACACTGTCAGGCAGGTAATTCTACTCTCATTACGTTATCTTCCTAGGACACTGTCAGGCAGGTAATTCTACTCTCATTACGTTATCTTCCTAGGACACTGTCAGGCAGGTAATTCTACTCTCAATACGTTATCTTCCTAGGACACTGTCAGACAGGTAATTCTACTCTCAATACGTTATCTTCCTCGGACACTGTCAGGCAGGTAATTCTACTCTCATTACGTTATCTTCCTGGGGACACTGTCAGGCAGGTAATTCTACTCTCATTACGTTATCTTCCTCGGACACTGTCAGGCAGGTAATTCTACTCTCATTACGTTATCTTCCTCGGACACTGTCAGGCAGGTAATTCTACTCTCATTACGTTATCTTCCTCGGACACTGTCAGGCAGGTAATTCTACTCTCATTACGTTATCTTCCTCGGACACTGTCAGGCATGTTATTCTACTCTCATTACGTTATCTTCCTCGGACACTGTAAGGCAGATCATTCTACTCTCATTACATTATCTTCCTCGGACAATGTAAGGCAGGTAATTCTTCTCTCATTGCGTTTTCTTCCTCGGACACTGTCTGGCAGGTGATTCTACTGTCATTACATTATCTTCCTCGGACACTGTCAGGCAGGTAGTTCTACTCTCATTGCGTTATTTTCATAGGACACTGTCAGGCAGGTAATACTACTCTCATTACATTTTCTTCCTAGGACACTGTCAGGCAGGTAATTTGACTCTCAATACGTTATCTTCCTCAGGCACTGTCAGGCAGGTAATTCTACTCTCATTACGTTATCTTCCTAGGACACTGTCAAGCAGGTAATTCGACTCTCAATACGTTATCTTCCTAGGACACTGTCAGGCAGGTAATTCTACTCTCATTACGTTATCTTCCTCGGACACTGTCCGGGAGCTAATTCTACTCTCATTACGTTATCTTCCTCAGACACTGTCAAGCATGTAATTCCAATCTCATTACGTTATCTTCCTCGGACACTGTCAGGCAGGTAATTCTACTCTCATTACATTATCTTCCTCGGACACTGTCAGGCAGGTAACTCTACTCTCATTACGTTATCTTCCTCGGACACTGTCAGGCAGGTAACTCTATTCTCATTACGTTATCTTCCTCGGACAATGTCGGGCATGTTATTCTACTCTCATTACATTATCTTCCTCGGACACTGTCAGGCAGGTAACTCTACTCTCATTACGTTATCTTCCTCGGACACTGTCAGGCAGATTATTCTACTTTCATTGCGTTATCTTCCTCGGACACTGTTAGGCATGTTATTCTACTCTCATTACGTTATCTTCCTCGGACACTGTCAGGCAGGTAACTCTACTCTCATTACGTTATCTTCCTCGGACACTGTAAGGCAGGTAATTCTTCTCTCATTGCGTTTTCTTCCTCGGACACTGTCAGGCAGGTAACTCTACTCTCATTGCGGTATTTTCATAGGACACTGTCAGGCAGGTAATTCTACTCTCATTACATTATCTTCCTCGGACAGTGTC